TTCTCTGGGATATGGTTTCACATAGCCCAGGCTGGCCTCTAACTTGCTTGTATCCATAGGTGACCTTACTTTATGATCCTCCAGCCTCCACTTTCTGAGAGATGGGATTATGGGCTCGCATGGCTACACCCCGTTCATGCAGTTCTGGGAGTGGAACCCAGGACTTCCTGTTCGCTAGGCAAGCACTCTACCAATGAGCAATAGCCCCAGTTCCCAGACACAGGTCTATGATCTTGGTATGTTTACTCCAAATTCCATGTTGGTGGCCCGCTTGAGGGTTTGAGTAAGAGTGTAGAGAATTAAACCTATATAAGAAATCCCATTTACTTGATCAAGTATAATTCTGTGTGCATTGACTCCATGGAAATACCCATGGCAGCCATGGCAGAGTAGAACGGGATGAAGGTAAGCCAGCTCTGTGAGCTTCAAAAGGGCCTGCCTCAAAGTTTGTAATGGAAGCTCTTTTCTTTTTGCCTTCCACCAGGGAAACAGCTGACTCAACCAGGGCTCTCAGCCTTGGCTGGACCCTGTCTCCTGGGACAGAGCTAAGAGATCAGCTTTGCAATTTGGGCATTAGAGCAAAATGGGTCCCCAGGGTGAGAGCCCCACACTGGGCAGAGATTAAGTTCACAGCCAACTAGGTGGGAGGGGGAAGGTGTGTGATGGGGGTTTGGGGACCAGGAAAACAAACGGGCCTTTGAGAACAATGCCGAGGACTAGGGTATGTAGCCCAGGACACCAGCTCCTCAGAAAGCATGATGGGAACAGGAGAAAACTCTGCCTCTGCCCAGCAACCACAGGTGTCAAAGCAGATGTCAGACATCAGGCCAAGATCGCTACCCTCAGCTGGAGACACCTCCTTCATTGTCAGACCCAGGGTGACATGCAAAGGTGAGGACTCCAGAGAGCCCCATTTGATGACAGCCACAGAGAGACCTTGGGAGGCAAGAGGCACGGCCATCTACAAACAGTGTATTGCCGTCTTGGATGTGAAGTCGGATAGCCAAAATGCATCGGTATTTTATTAGCAGCCCCTAAAAGCTCCTGCGATGGCTGGAGTCACTGCACAGGCAGCTAGTTTCATATATTTATTTTATGTGTTCGGTGCATAATTCGCACTGGCTGGCATTGTGAGACACTTGGCGGTAACACATTTTTACTGCCCTGTGATTTCCCACATGAATCTGACTTTATCGATGGCTCATAGACTGCTCTAGACAGCAGCCATTATGCTCTCCCTGGCTCCTCTGCTTTCTCTGTGTCTGCCCATCTCCACTGTTGAACGGCTTCTTCCCTTGTCATGGTCCCTCCTATATCCAGGCTTTCCAGTCTCTCAGTGTTTCTTTCTTCTACGGCTTCTCAGAGTCCTTCCTTCCTTCCTTTCTTTCACTCAGGCAGGGTCTCATTCCATAGACTAGGCTGACCTCGAACTCACTTTCAGTCCTCCTGCCTCAGGCTTCCAAGTGCTAGGATTATATCCCTACCATTGTGGTGTTTCTTAAAACACTTTTATGCTCAGTCAAGATATCTTCAAATGGCCAGGTGGTGGTGGCACAAATCCCAGCATTTAGCAGGCAGAGGCAGACGAATCTCTGAGTTCGAGGCCAGCCTGGTTAACAGAGTGAGTTCCAGTAGAGCCAAGACTATAGAGAGAAACCCTGTCTCAAATGCCCCCCCCCCAATTTAATAAATAAACCTTCAAATGTATAAAGTACAAGTAAAATCCTATAAAAGCACAGTTCTTAGAAACACATTTATTTTATGTATTAAATTTAAAATTGGTAGTATGCTAGACATTATTTGATATAAAATTCTAACTTTGTTGGGGACATATCTCAGTTGATAAGAGTGCTTCCCTAGCGTGCATGGAGCCCTGGGTTCAATCCCAAATCCTGCATGAGCAGGTGATGCATGCCTGTAATCCTAAAACTCCCAAGGTAGAGACAGGACGAATGGAAGTTCAAGATCATCCTCAGCTCTGTAGTGAGTTCAAGGCCAATCTGGAACACAGGAGACCCTGTCAGAAGAAAGAAGGAAGAAGGATGGAAGGAAATTTCTAACTTTTCAGAGACAAATTTTAAACTCAGAAATGCAGAGCGTCTCGCTGGCAGCTACTGAGTCCTCTGGGAAGCAGAGGCTGAGGGGACGTTAGAGAAGCTCTCTTGAGGGACAGTGATGTCAAAGACAAAGGAGGGGGAAGTGGGACCAAGCAGAGGATGTCTTCAAAGCACACTAGATCTGATCCCGTGAAAGGAAAGGGATGGGGTTGGGGGAGCTAGGGCAGGGCTGCCTGGGGTCACAATGCGGAGATCTCAAAGCCATGGTCAACCCAGTGGGAGAGAGACCTTGACTCAAAGGCTTCTAGGGTGCTTCATCCAGAGACTCTCAGAGACCTGCACTCCTTGTCAAGCTCCTTCCTGGAGGGAGGGCTGAGCAGTGCTCGTCCATGGCCTCCATGTTGCTCCCCACCACCTCCTGCCCATCTTTGTCACCACAGGCTTTGGCCTCCATGTTGCTATCACTTTCATCTCTAGTCTTTCCAACCTTTATAAATCAAAACACATGGCCTCCTGAGTTTACTAAATGCTACTCTCTTCGTGGCCTGGAGTGATCACATGATACCATGCCCGGAAGTCTAGGAAAGATACAATTAAACATTTCATAATTACCTGAATGTAAGTACAACCGTGAATAACTTTTTTTATTTCTGATTTTCTTTATATTCCAAATTTTAGGTGATAATAATAATCTATTTTACTTTTAATTAGAAAATATATAATGAACATTTTAAAATCAGCTTCTATGGGCTGAAGAGATGGTTCAAGAGATTGCTGCTCTTCCAAAGAACGAGAGTTCGGCTTCCAGCGCCCACATTAACCAGCTCACAACCGCCTATAATTCTAGCTCCTGGGAATCTGACACCCTCTTCTGGCGTCCTCAGACACCCACACGTTCATGACATACACACCCAGAGACATATACACATACACACTGTCCGTGACCTCTCCAAGGTATGGTTAAGTGGAAGGTTTTTATTGTAGATATGAGAGAGAGGACAGCCAGAGGCATCTGAGGAGTCCAGAGCAGGGAGAGAAACATAGTAGAGTGACCATGGCCGGGAGACTGGACTTGGCCACGAGAGGAGGGAAACAGAGAGAGATAAAGACAGAGCGCAGACGAAGGAGACCAAGAGAGGGCAAGAGAGGGGAAGAGGAAAAGAGAGCCCATGACTGAAATAGCAGGGTTATAAGGAGAACAAGAAGCTGTGGGGAGGGAAGCCCATGAGCTGGGGAGATTCAGGGTAACGGGTGGGGTGAGAAGTGCCAGGATGCTCTGAAATGGACTCTGAAATGTGTCGCAGGTACTGTGATTCTGAGGGAGCCTGGAGGCCAGTATGAGCTTTCGTATGCTAATAGGCACCATGGGTACCATTTGTCCCTTGTGCTGGTGATTAGGAAAATGGCTCCTTTGGTCATGCCCGAAGAATACTGGCTCTTGTCTAATGTCAGAATTTGGGGAAGTGAAGTTATAACTTCGAATTTAAAAAAAATTTGTTTTCAATTTGCTGACTCAACAAATAAGAAATACAGTAATTACAGTAATCATATTACTAGCTTTAGATCAGGTTGACCTGGGCCTGAACCAGATTCTGGGACCACTGCCCGGTACCTGGGGTCTTTCCCTCCTCTGCCTCGGTTTCCTCCTCTGAGAAGGGAGACACGTGGCCTTACATCTCAGCATTGCTTCATGAGTGTGAAGCAATTGCAGCTTGTTTCTAACCTAGCCACATACAGGGGTAAGACAAGAAGAATGTGGGTTTTATTCCATAACTTCTTTTCTTATCAGTGTTCATCCTCTGAGCTGAGACCAATGCACAGCCCAGGAATGCCTCAGCCGACTCTAAAGGAGACACTGGGAACCCTTCTCTTTAGACTTAAGAGGAAACGGATCATTGGACCATTGGTTCTTAACATATGTCCAACAGAGGTGGGATAAACCTTCTTCAAACTGCAGGGAAGACACACTGTGAGCAAGAGCGAGTCTGGTACCCTGACTCAGAGTAGAGTGCAGGGGAAGTTCACCCCTATTTGCCTTTCCCGTGAACTTGCAAGTCCTCTGTCCTGCTTTATCCTCTGTTGCTATGATGAAACACTGATCAGCAACTTGGGGAGGAAAGGGTTTGTTTCAGCTTCCAGCCTGCAGTCCATCATGAAGGAAACTCAAGGCAGGAACTGAAGCAGAGCCCACGGAGGAAGCTACCCACTGGCTTGTTCCTCATGGCTTTGCTCAGCCTGCTTTCTTATGCAACTCAGAACCACCTGCTCCGAGGTGAGCTGGGCCCTCCAACATCAATCATTAATCAAGACAGCAGACGCCCCACGGGCCAGTCTGACGGAGGCCCTTTCTCAGCTGAGGTTTCCTCTTTCCAGATGACCCTAGCTTGTGTCAAGTTGACAACCTCCTGTTACTTTTTCCCATAATGCCTCCTAAGTCGGTAACAGTTATAATCTCAGTTCCCTCAAATTATGTGCATATTTCTCAAGCCATCTTGTTGCTGTTCCTCTTCTAATTGAGAAGTCGTTCTAGATGAAGATCATTTCTAATTACATGCAACACAGTGCCTGTATACTAAATACTCAAAACATGTCTCCTAAGTGAATATATTAGTGCACAGATCAGACCTGAGGCCCCCAAACCCTTTCTGCACAATGAGACAAGAGGTGAAAACTTCTGTTTCCTGAGTTTCTACTAGAAAACAGGCAAAAGGAACGCAAGCTGAGTTTTTTGCCCTTTGACCAGTGCCTGAGTTCTCACCATTAAAAGGCCCACTCTGCCAAGCTAGCCTCCGCTGACTCCAGTCCGTCTCCAGGCAGTTTTCCTAAGTGTTCTTTCACACATTGCATAACCGTAACAAGAAATACTCCAAATGCTGTCTGAAAGACGAGAGGGGCAGCCATCATCACGCTTTTGTCCCAGTGTGACAAGGGGGTAACAGTGCACTAGAACTCTTCCTTTGGTGGCAGAGGAACAGTATGATGCTTGACTCCCAAACGTCCATTTTTGTAAAATGCCAAAGCACTGATCTATAGAACACCATGCTAAGCCAACCAGCGAGTGTCTCAGAACACAGCTTTCCCTGCTTGTGGTACCTGAACACAAAGCATCTGTTACAAAGAGCTTGTAAATGACTATGGGACACGAAGGCAGAAGTGCAGTCAATGATGCATAGACCTTCAAAGCTTCATATTTAATCTTCAAACAGCATCCAAACACGAAGTTTGCCAGTATCCCAAAGAACTCAACGGACGTTCCAAACGATAAAGTCCCTTGGATAATTACAGTCTTTTCTGACATAGCCATTTTTTCTATGATTTTGATGACCATTAGCCTTCTGAACTTTGCATTTCCTAGAGGATCCAGCTGACCATGCATATATATTGCCATCTTGATGTCCTGGAGCACTTCTCTATCCCCCAGGGCCACATGAGCACCCCTCAGCTCAGACTCAGTCTCGCACTGAGTACAACCATTTTGATACCAAAGCCAGTTCACAATCACCAAGGGGCAGGAACAGCCCAAGCAGCCCCTGGTAAGTGAGTGGAGATGAACAAGATGAGGTATATACAAACAATGGAGTATCGGTTGGCCTTTCGAAAGAAGCAGATTCATGACTGTTTAGTACATTCCTTTTCTGGGCTTGAACCAGGCTGCAAAGTCATTTGGTTCAGGATTTTACTTCTGCTGGTATTTCTCCAGGCATGTGTCTACTTATGTTTGAAGTAAATGCCCACTGCTTCTATTAGAGTGGGGGGTTTGTTGTTGGTTTTTGCAGTGTGGGATTGTGTGATAGGCCAGCACCCTATCACTGGGCTATATCCCCAGCTAGGGTGTTTAAATGACATTAATTAAGCACACCATTGCTATTCTGGAAACAGGCCTTGACTTGTGACCTGATTACTAAACTGGCTTATAATGTCTCAGGTTGACATTCCAAAGACAGTTTCTGTTCCCAGTTGAAAATTAAAGCACATGCATCTGGGTAGTGGTGGCACACACCTTAATCCCAGCGCTCGGGAGGCAGAGGCAGGCGGATCTCTAAATTCAAGGCCAGCCTGGTCTACGGAGTGAGTTCCAGGACAGCCAGGACCATACAAAGAAACCCTGTCTCAAAAAAACAAAGAGAGAGGGAGAGAGAGACAGAGAGACAGAGAGACAGAGAGACAGAGACAGAGAGGGAACTAAAGCATATGAAATTTAAAGAGCAGGGAAAAAAAGCTATGAAGCTGATTCCAACACACACTGCAATATGGATGAATCTCAAAGTCATGACACCAAGGGAAATGAGCCAGACATAAAAAGCAAAATGATTTGATTCTACTTTCATGAGGTTCTAGACAATCGCATCATAGAACTACAGTGATGGCCATGGAAAGGCCAATTTAGTGGACACAGAGTTTCAGTTTGGGACGATAACAAGCCCTGGAGGCAGATGGTGATAGTGAACAATAGCAATGGACCTAGTCACAATAAACTCAGCTACCACTCCAGCACCAGGCCTGTCTGCTCCCCATCACAATGGTCACGGACGAACCCTCAGAAACTGTAAGCAAACTCCCAATTAAATCCTTCCTTTTATAAGAGTTGCCTTGGTCATGGTGTCTCTTCACAGCAACCGAACAGTAACAATTAGCAATAAACGTGGAGGGTTGGCTCAGTGGGAAAGGTGTTTGCCACCAAATCTGATGACCTGACTTCAACCTCTGAAGTCCACATAGTGAAAGGAGAAAATGGATTCCCCAGGTTACCCTCTGACCTTCACATACACACCACAGCACATCCATGCCGCCCCACAAACCCCTCTCACACACGTACTAAGTAAATTAATGCACTAAACTATTAAAAATAAAAACATTTGAAAATTGGCACTGTAGGGATGGAGAGATGACCCAGTGGTAAAGAGCACACACTGCTCTTCCAAAGGACCAGAGCTGCCACCAACACCAGGCAGCTCACAACTGCCTGGAACTCCAGCTCTAAGAAGGCCTGCTACTGTTGGCCTACATGAGCACCTGCATACACAGAAGCATAATTTTAAAAATAATAAAAATACATATTTTTAATTAGTATTATAGCCCAGCATGGTGGTATGTGCCTTTAATCAGGAGGTCGAGACAGGTGGAGCTCTATGAATTTGAGAACAACCTGGTTTACATAGCAAGATCCAGGACAACTAGGGCTACATAGAGAGACTCTATCTCAAAAATAAAAACCATTGTATGAAGGAAATTTGGGGCTGGGGAGAAGGCCCAGCAGTTAAAAGCATATACTGCTTTTCCAGAGGACCTGACTTCCATTTCCAGCCCCCATATCAGGTGGCTTACAACCACATGTAACTGCAGCTCCAGGGGATTCCACATCCCCAGGCTCTGCTGGCATCTACACTCACAAGCATTCACAAACATACACACACAAAAAAAAAAAAACTAAAAAGAAAAGAAAAGAAAGCCAGGCACAGTGGCACACACCTTCAATCCCAGCACAGGAGGTAGAGGCAGCTGGAGTCTGACCCACTATTGACCTAAGAGGGAGGTCCAGGACAGCCAGAGCTACATTGTGTGAGACCCTGTCCAGGGAAAAAAGAAAAGACACCTGACCAAACTGTATTCATCTCAAGAAGACAAGATCATTTCTCTGCTAGATAGCTAATTAACTAATAAATTTGCGACCTTACCAGATTAAAGGAGAAAAAGCATTACATCTCAGTAAATAAAAATGTAAATAAATCTTACTATCCATTCGAGATAGATACAGATATGAATCCTTTGTCCACTAAAATGCAATCTCCTTAACTTCCAGCAGCCTGTCAACAGCCACACTCTCATTCCAGGTGACATATTGAAGGCCTGTTTATGACTTTTCCATTCAGCACTGTATTTGATGAGAGTTTAAAGGTACAGGACCAGAAAAATGAAGATATTCATTATCCACATGTGCAATAGCCATCAGGAAACACAGAAATCTATAGAGAACTTATTGGTTTTAATAACAGTTTAGCAAATTACTGAATGCAAAAAAAACCCATAATACATAAAGTCACTGAATTTGTACAATCCACAACAAAATCTTTTTTTTTTTTTTTTGTCTTTTTGAAGCATAGTCTTACTATGCAGCCTTGACTGGCCTTGAACACACAGAGCTCTGCCTGCCTCCGGCTCCTGAACGCTGGGCTTAAAGGTGTGCACCAGCATGCCCAGCTTTAGTAATCTTTAAAAAGGTAACCCATCCTGTATTAGTCACTTCTCCCACTGCTGGGACAAAAACACCAGGAGCAAAAGCAATTTCCAGAAGAAAGTTTATTTCAGCCTAGGTTGCAGAGGGATGAGAGTCCATCTTGGCCTGGGGGAGTGGGGGTGGAGGCAGGAGCAGGAAGCAGAGAGCTCATCTCTACAAATGCAATCAGAAATCAGAGAAAGAGAACTAGAAATGACAGAAGGTGTCAACTCCCAAACCCTCTCTCCACGTGACACACTCCTCCAGCAAGGCCACACCTCCTAAAGCTCCCAAATGCCACCAACTGAGGCCCAAGTGTTCAAATATCTGGGCCTGTGAGGGCCTTCTCATTCAAACCATCAACATACCAAAATACAAACTGAAATGAATAAATGTAACCACAGAAGTGGTTTATGAAAAAAAGTATAAACTCACTGCAAAAAAAATTAAGATCTAAGAAAATGAGAAATTTCATAGATACCTAATCATTTTAATATGCTTTTCTTCTAAATATTCTAAAGTAACTTTTTAAAAACTTAAAAAAATAATTTTTATGTTTTCAGTTTTATTTTTCTATTAAATTGTATGTGTGTGTGTGTGTGTGTGTGTGTGTCTCAGAGGACGGCTTACAGGAGTCAGTTTTTGATGGATGATGTCTTTCTGTATGCTGTGAATATGTGTTGATAAATAAAGCTGTTTGGCCAATGGTGAAGCAGAATAAGGTTAAGCAGGACATTCTAACTAGAGAGGAGGAAGGAAAAAGACAGAGCAGAGGAGATGCTGCCAGCCACCACCATGAGAAGCAAGATGAAAAAGTACTGGTAAGCCACGAGCCACGTGGCAAAGTACAGATTTATAGAAATGGGTTAATTTAAGATGTAAGATCTAGATAGCAAGAAGCCTGCCATGGCCATAGTTTAAAAATAATATTAGCCTGTGTGTGTTTATTTGGGTCCGAGTAGCTGCAGGACTGGTGGCTGAGAGAGATTTGTCCTGACTGTGGTGGGTCGGCGGGACACGGGAAAACTTTCAGTTACAAATTTTCTCAGTCATGTAGGTCCAAGGAATCAAATCCAGATCATCAGCCTTGGCAGCAAACACCTTCGCCTGCTGAACCATCGTACCAGTCCTGCATTTTAATTTTAGTCAGACCTGCTGAGCCCCTAGTTAGACACAACTGTGGCTAAATTCCTTCCCGCTTGCTATCTCATCCGTTTCAGGGAGATGAGTCACACAGCTTTACCCATTTCCAGCCTTGTCGTCAGGTAAAAGGATAGCACCTGCGGTGTGTAACACTTCATTAGTCTGAGTCCTACGTTTTAAGTATTTAGACAGATAGTACATGGGCTCCTCAGAAGCCAGGATCAGGATTGCCAAGAGGAAGTGGAGTGTCTGGCTGTGGTCCCACCGGCTCTGAGAGGGTACAGGTGCGTCAGGATGTCCTATTTAGAAACTTCAATCAAGCCCCAAGAAACTGGCTCCAAGAAAGGGGTGCTGGGCCCTAGGGGAGGAACTGATTCCACTGCACAACAGGAAACTTAACCATCTGAGGTCTCTCATTGCATTGAGTTAGGTCAGATGTGGAGCAAGTTTGGTAGGCGGTTCCAGAAAAAAGGGTAGAGACCAAGGGGAGACAGAAAAGCCATTGTCCTTCTGTTTGCCCATGAACTAAATCTGAAATTAATTCAACAAACATTTCCAGAGTGCCAATCTCAATGCTATAACAGAGTCCTAAAGCATTTATGTTCCAGGGCCAATAAGGAGACTTTTACACATTGCCATATACAATGCACCTTATATGCCACAACCATATGAATTAGATGCCGTTTATTTCCTGATTTTACATAATAGGAGTCCAGGCTTGATGTTAAGGCATGTAGTGAGTTGCTTGGTGGGGAAGTGTATCTAGAAGGGAGATCAAATATATACACCTAGATAAATTTTAATAATGCAACTTGAGTGAAACTCCAATCTGAGGAAAAGCCTCTACACAAAATAGTAAAGTGGGACAGACATGGCATTTCACAACAACGAGGGACCTGGCTGACTCTAGAAAGGTTCAAATAGGAACAAAGAATGATGAGAAGTGGGAAGTAACCAAGTTAATGTGGGACTGTGGCATAGTGGTCTAGATCTAGAAATGTTAAACTTAATATTTTTAAAACTATTCATCGCTGGCCACGGTGATGCACGCCTTTAATCCCAGCACACATAAGGCAGAGGCTGGTGGACCTCTGTGAGTTTGAGGCCAGCCTGGTCTACAGAGTGAGTTCCAGGACAGCCAGGGCTATGTGGAGAGGCCCTATCTCAAAAAAACAACAACAAACTATTTATGTTTATTTTCAGTTATGTGTATGTATGTGGGTTGTCCATAGAGACCAGAAGAAGACGTCAGCCCCCCAGGGCTGTAGTTACAGGCAGTTGTTAAGATGCCTGACTGTTGGGGTGGAAACCAAACTTGGTTCATCTGGAAGAGCAGCAAGTGCTCTGAACTGCTGAGGCATCTCTCCAGCCTCAAACTAAATTCTTTACCATGTGTCCAGGAGGAAAGCACTATATTAATATGTACGGTATAGTCTTATCTTAGTGAGTTTGATTACCAAAACTAATAGAATATTCTCTAAATAAAGAAAAAAAAATATTGGATTGTGAGAACCTCCCATGCCTGGCCAAGGAGCACAGTCACCATCATCCCGTGCTTGTCAGTGATGGAGGAGAGCCCTGAGAAGTGGTCTTTAGCTCCCCGGTGTAGCTGAAGGTTTCCTGGTCCTGCCCAGCTCCCTTGGTCCTGAAGTCCCGCAGCCGCTCAAACCCAAATGAACACACAGAGGCTTAATATTAATTTAAACTGCTTGGCCATAAGCTCAGGCCTACCACTGACTAGCTCTTACACTTAAACTCAGCCCATTTCTGTTAATTTATGTGTTGCCACGAGTTCCATGGCTTTACCTGTGTGCCTTACATACTCCCTGGACAGCAGGCTGGCGTCTACTTCTCAGTTCTGTTTTTCCTTCCCAGAATTCTCCTTGTCTGCTCATCCTGCCTATACTTCCTGCCTGGCTACTGGCTAATCAGCATTCTATTTATCAACCAATCAGAGCAATGCATTCACAGCATACAGAGCGCTATCACCCATCACCCCGGTCTCCTCCATGTTGGATAAGCAGACTTCATGCAGAATGGCAGGCCCCCAGGAAGCCCCTGGCAGGCGATGCTGTGGTTTTAAGGACGGCCACTGGCAGTCAGAGGAGAAAGCAATGGCGACTAGGATGGAAGGCTGGTTCACTGCTGGCTGGCAGAGGGAAACTGATGGTAAAGACTAGAGGGAAACTAGTTGAGATACAGGGTAGTGGGCCATCAGGAGGGCTCAGCAGGTAAAGGTGCATGTCACACAAGCCAGACACCCTGAGTTCAATCCCTGGAACCAACGGTGGAAGGGAAATGGACCCCTGAAAGCTGCTGCTCTCTGACCTCCACACAAAACACAGCAGGCACAGGCCTGCATTCACACACATACACAATAATAAGTAATAACATATTTAAAAGCTAGCAACAACTGGAACCCGGTGCCTGTAGTGTGACACCTTGCACAGCCTTGGTTCAGTGGGAAGGGGCTTGGACCTGCCTAGGCTCAGTGTGCTGGGCTCTGCTGACTCCCCTTGGGAGACCTTGATTTGGGGGATGCAGGGTGGCTTGGGAGAGAGGGCTGGGGGGGCGGTGGGAGGAGGGAGGAGGGGGGATAGTGGATAGTATGTGGAGTGAGTAGAAAACTTCTTAAGAAAAATGAAAGAAAAAAATTAAAAATAAAAAATAAAGCTAGCAATAATACCAGAGTAGCACCAAGAACTATAGCCTTTATAAATGGTAGTTATAAAAAAAAAAAAAAAAAAACTACAGCAATAAAAAAAGAGAGAAAATAACTATAGCAGCATGGGAAAAATGCTTCAAAGATAAGTGAAGCCGGGCGGCGGTGGCGCACGCCTTTAATCCCAGCACTCGGGAGGCAGAGCCAGGCGGATCTCTGTGAGTTCGAGGCCAGCCTGGGCTACCAAGTGAGTTCCAGGAGAGGCGCAAAGCTACACAGAGAAACCCTGTCTCAAAAACCAAAAAAAAAAAAAAAAAAAAAAAAGATAAGTGAAAAAGAAAAATTTTAAAACACATGTGCCTGTGACTACAAATATCTTTTTAAGGTTTAAGACCACCTCCCCTCAAAAAAAATTAATCATTTTACAGCCAAAACGTATTTCTCTTTGAGTTGTGTTGTGGTCTAACTGTGTACGTGCCCCCCTACTAACTCACAGGCTAAAGCTCCAATACCCAGTGTGACTGGCTGTGGAAAGAGACCATAAGGGGGTGATTAAGGTTAAATGAGGTCATGGGGTCTCTTACGGGCCCTAGTCCCATAACAAGAGAAAGAGGCAGGGGAGATGCTTTTGTGTTAAAGTGCTCAATGTCCAAGCATAAGGACCCGAGTTCTGATCCCCAGAACGCACGTAAATGAGGGTGAGGGGTGGCATATGCCCACCCTCCTGTAATTACAGCCTCAGAAGGCAGTCACAAGGGATCAAGCTGGCTAGCAAGACTAGCTATATTGGCCAGCTCCAGTTTTGACTGAGACATCCTGTGTCAATGAACAGAATGCAAGAACAATCAAGGGTATTCCCTACATCAGCCTCAGACTTCCGCATACACCCACATGTACATACACCCACACACCTGTGCCCACACACATGGGGACATGCACATACCTGAACCGGGGGATCGGGGGGAGAAGGGAGGAGGAGAAAGAGGAGAGGACACAGCAGAGATTTCACTACACTGAGGAGAAGCCCGGGGAGGACAGCGTGGGACCACCTGCACACTGGACAGAAAGGCCTCCACAGAACCAACACTGCTGCACCTTGACTTTGGGCCTCCAGAACTGTGGGAAACTGAACCACTGTTGCCCCAGCCACCCTGTCCTCTTTTGTTATGGCAGCCTGAACAGACTAACAGCATGCCAATAAGCCACTGGGTCTACCAGTTCTTCGATTGCCTTCCACTCCAATTCTTGTGCCCATTGCTTCCTCAACATACCAGCTGCCAACCTGGCTGCAGGTCCTTGTGCCCAGATGCACACAGCAGTCCCTTTTCTCCCTTGGCTGTGTACTTCCTGCTTCCTTTCTTACAATCTCAGCAACCAATTCCTACCTTACTCCATCCTATCACCTCAAGTATCTCAGATGTTTGCATCTATTGTATTTTCTCTGAGGACCAAGCCTAGCTCCCCCTTTCTAGAACTCTCTGCGCTCACTTGTCAGACATAAGCACCTGATCCCTCCAGGCACACTAGAGTCTTTTCATTGTAAATGAAAAAGACATCTGATTCAGACCGCCGCTGAGATGACTGGCATGAACACCGTCCCTCTCTGCCACCACCCTGTCTTGCATCTCTGTGCCTTTTTTAGTACAATGTTCCCAGGCTTCTTCTGAAAGGCAGCTTTTCCCATGTGAAGGGAAGAGAGAACCAGCAGACGTCAGCCTAAGCATCCCAGTTAACCAAGCTTCACAGGAATATCGTGAACATAGAATAGCCCAGCATTAACATGCCACAACCCACAAAGGACTGGAAGGTTCATTCTTGAGTCAATGAGCCAATGGTCACCTATGAGCCAATCCTTCTGGCCCAGAGGAAAGAGGAGTCTAAAGACCCTGGCTAGGTCACTGCCAAGGAAGAGAAAAGGGCCCATTACCACAAGAAGAAACACTGAGCAGATGGACATGTCTACTCTAACAGGTAACCCTTGTCCTGATGCAACCCAGGACACAAGTCCCTTCCCCAGCATGATTTGCCCCCATGACTTCCACCTCCCAATGATGGATCCTGACTCTGGTGCTGCCCTGCCCCTCCCCAGCCCCAGAGAACCTATTCCAAGCCATAATCCAGTAGAGAAGCTCTAGAGCCCTTGGAAGGATGGTAATGTTTTTCTTCTATCATGATTCATGCAAACTTGGCTGAGGGCTTACGCAAAGATAAGAACGTGCTCAGAGCACAATGCTTGAGTCCTTCCAGAATGAAGCCGGGTCTCCATTTGACAGAACAGATTTAGTTTGCACAGCAAAAGGGAAACATCTCCTAG